CTGTAGCCCCTCACCCCCTTTTAACAGCCAATGAACATACCACAGATCACCACAAATACGATCTTCCTTCTGCAACTTAATGACACTACATGGTTTCCCTGTGACTCAGACAGCAGAGACACAGATGTAGTTTTCTAATCAGGTAGTTCTGGCATTTCTTCAGGGAGACTGAAGCTGGGCGAGTTCCCAAATCAGGCCCTGAGCAGGACGCTTGAAGAAATTGTGCAATTAAATTGCTTGTTTTTCCTAAACCTCTGTGGAGACAGAGCAGGTAACTAGAGGGTCCAAGCTACTCGGCCAAGGGGGTGCCATGGAGAAGAGTTTAACATGATCTCTAGCTTATTCTCAGGTATACTGGATCTTAACAGCAGTTACAGTGATTTCACATTCATTGAGCACTGTTTCTGACCTAGATCCTGTGCACAATGCTTTGTGTGCAGTATCTCATTTAATCCTCCTGCCAGCCTTAACAGGTGGCAGCTACCATCATGCCCACTTTAAACACAGAGGATCTCAGGTTCTGGACTGTGACTTACTCCACGTAATTCACGGAACTGGTTAGTGGTTAGAGCTGGAATATCAACTGGAGTCTTGTTCCAGAAGTGTCACTATCTCTCTCATCTTGTTTTATTGTGGAGAGTTCTCCTGGGCCAAGTTCTCCCCTCTCCAGGTCCTTCTGAGCTAGACTTCCCCCAAAGCTGCCTCTCCCCTAAAGGCTCATTGTTTATTGTACCATCTAAACAATAGCTAATGAGTCTGTGCAGCCTGGTAGAAGAGCCAAGGGTGGTTTTATTCCTTGAAATAGCCTGGGGGTAGTGACACAAAAAGGTTAAGTGGCTTTGGTTGAGGTCACAGAGGCTTGCTGCTATCAGAGACTTGCACCTCTGAGCCCCTATTTGGGCTCTTGAGCGGACCCTAAGTGTAACTAGGAGTCATAGTTTCCCTCTTCCTTCCCATCTCCAATCTTCCATTTTATTGCATCTTGATAATGGTAGATAGCAAAGTACAAGACATTTTTCTTCTCCCGAGTGTTTTTAATGACTCAGCTTATCACACAGAAATCACTTGCTTTAGAGTTAACCCCTTAGAAGCCAATTTCTTTGTGAGACAGGGACTTGTGCCTTTTCTCAGAGAAAAACAACCACAAGTGGAACTTAGACAGGCTGTGAATTGAGGATTTTTTTTTTTTTAAAGATCTTACATTTAAATCAGTAAATCAACATCTGTGAGTCAAAAACTTGCTTGGGTTCAGCCGTTAGTGGTCTGAATGTTTTTTTGCACTACCTTCAATAAAACTCAGAGGTTCTTTTAGGGTCACTGTTGTTCAAGATTTAGGAGATAGACAAAGAAGTTATTCTAACATTTCTGGAGAAAGGAGTCTGTCTGCCATGATATTTTTACACTTGTCTTTTGCTGAAGTTGGGGCTGTGTTGAGAGAAGAGTATAAGGAAAGGGGAGTTTTAGTTTCTTACATATTACATGTGTTTGAGGCAGTTCCTGTGTGAAGGTGACTATTTTTGATCACATCAATCCTTTGCTCATACTCCTTCCCCCCCCCCAGTGCCGCTCCCCACCCCCCACAATTGCAGGCTGTTAAAAAAGATTTATTTTATTTATGCATACAAGAGCTGAGGTGCAGTAGAGGTTTGGGGAGTGTTGGTGAGAGGATTTACCAGAGACAGTGAAGAGCAGAACTGGCAGATGTACTGAAATATGCTGCTGAGGGGAGCAGTGGTGAGACAAGGAGAGGTCTGTTGCACCCTGTGGGTCAGCTTCCTGGCTGGGTGGGGATTGAATTTGTGTAGCAGTGGCTGGCAATAGCTTGCTAGTGCTGTGTCTTTAATCCCTGTACTACCAGGAAGGCCCCCCTTTTTTTTTTTTTTTAAGATTTACTTATGTATGCATACAGAACTGGGGTACAGGCCAGAGGTGCAGGGGCGGTGAGAGGATTCACCAGAGACAGAGTGGGGAGCAGAATAGGCAGAGTGACTGCTGAGGGGAGCAGTGGTGAGACAAAGGAGAGGTCTGCCCCTTCTGGGCCCTGTGGGTCACCTCTCTGGCTGGGGATCCGACTCTTGCTGAAGTGGCATTAGATAGCTTCATAGTGCTGCAACTTAACCCCTTGTACCACCAGGGAGGACAGTCTGCAGCCTTTTTGGGGATCCTTATTCACCTGATGTTTCCAGTTTAAAGAGTCCTAGCACTTGCTGGATATAATGTACTGATGTTTGAGAAACACTTAACAGTAAGATTCTGTTTTCACCCATGTGCAGGAGAAACAGTTGCTGTATGCAAACAGAAGCAGAGGTTTTTCTTAGGTGCCCTAAAACCAGATATAGTCTTCTAACAGCTTGCACCAGTGGGAAGAAAATAAAAGTTAGACTGATCTTGTTTTGCTGTTGGGGAACCTGGGGCAGGAGTGAAACCAAGTGGACATGAGGGCTGAGAAACAATTTTGCTCTGTATATGGGAAAAAGGACAGACCCAGAGTATCAAATTCACCTCACCATGGGGGTGAGGAAGAGTTGTGGCAAAATAGAAGGCCATAGCAAGGGTTGAGCAGCTGCAATGTACCAGGCACTGGGCTAAGAATTGCTTTTTAGGATGGGCTACAGAGAGAGGCCTTCTCAAGGCTCTAAGAACAGAAAGACCTATTTGTGTCAAAAGATAAATTGATTGTCTTCATCAACATGAACTATACAGGCCTGATTGGATTATTCATATCCCAAGTAAGTGAAAATATTTTCACTTGAGCATATTATTGTTTCTTGTTTCAACCAGTTTCACAGTCACTGTATAGAACTCCTCCTTATAACGTCAATATTCATAATGAGCCTTAGATAGAAGTGATATTCCTGAAGTTATATGGCAACCCCAGGATTTCCCCCAAAGTTTTTAAGTTATAGGACATCATTCCTTGGTTTACACACTGAAATATTTTGAGCTTCTGTGCTTCAGTACTGGATTAGAACAAGAATGATCGACAAATTGAATCATCACAGTTGAAGAGTTAGAAGAAATGAATTTCCCCATTGCTAGAATGGAACGTGTTCACCGTTTAATCATGGCAAATTCTTGTAGTGGCTAATTTGGGGGATGGCAGCAGAAGTGTTTAGAAAAGAGAATTGAAGAGCAGGCTGGAGAAATGAGAAAGGAGCTGTGTTTGAAAATAGAGACATGTTCACCCTTGAATTAAAAAATACCAGCAAACATTTTCTTAGAACAACATAAAAAAAAAAAAACACACAAAATTTCCCAAAGCAGTTCTTAATTTTCTCACTTCTGCTACTGTTCGTAAGGCAGCACTGATTTAAGGTCTGATTCTTTGCTGCTCACATGGATGTGTGAATGTACAATTCATTCATCAGCTGTTTCCCCCAGCTTTGCAGGATCAGAAGTGTCTGTTCTTGTCATCTGGAGGCCAACATTGTTTTCTCATACCTTTAAACACAGCTGGATCGCCAGTCTTTGTTCCTTCCAAAATTAGGATTATTGTATAGAGATGTTTTTTTTTCTGGTCACAGGAGGGGAAGAATGTACAGTTTGAACAGGGAGCCTGAGATAAATGATCTATTTCTGCGTCTTTTCCTGAGTTTTGGTGAGAAACCTGCAAATGACTAAGACACCAGTGGGACCAAACTAAGATTAGGTAAAACAGTGTGTGAACATTTATCTGAGGCAGAGGTTATAGTTGCAGACAAGTGGAGAGAACTCAAAAAATGCGTTTTCTGAGGTTGTTCAGAAAGGTGTGCTTTAATCTTCTATTTAATCAAAGACAGAGCTCAATGCCTGGCTCTGGCCTTACAAACGTGTCTATGTCAGTACTTCTATGTGGACTGATGAATTTGTTAACTAAGATGTGCCGTTTTCATTTATGACAACCAATGTATCAGTGGCAAATCATTCATTATTTGGGAGAGTATTGTGGCATCCCAAGAGTCTGGTGTCCCCAAATGGAGCAAAGGCTGTGTATTGTGATTCTGTCGAGACTGAGATGTGCTCCACAAAATCTTTCTCCTTTGTGAGTGGTAGGAAGAATGTCAGTTTTATCTAGTAGTGTCTGTGACTGGAAAGGCAAAACTTTGGTCCATGGTGTCGTAATTAAAGGAACAGAATCATTAGAAAAGAAAACATAGCTTCCCCTTCCCACAAGTCTGGGTTCTAGCCTGAGGCCCTGTTCTCAACGCTCCGGGTCATGCAGTAGAATTTGGACCTTTGCTGTGGGCCTGGGTAGTCTGTCTTGATCCCTTATCAAGGGCAGCAAGACCAGGTTTCTGCTTTGGCAGGTTGGCTCTGCTTTTAGCAGGGATGGGCTCTGAAAAATCAAAGGCTTCTCTGGGAACACAGTCCCGATTTTTGACTCACTAGCCGGCTGGAGCCCAGAATTTATTCGTGAAGACAGGGCTCACAAATCTCCTGCGCCTGCTTGCACGCATGCCCCTTCAGGGGCATGCCTCACGTCCTGTGTGTCAGTCTTTGTGAATGAATGATGCACACGCACTTGGAAAACTATGCTGCTACTGGAGGGGGACAGGAGAGGGTGACCAAGAACTCAAGAATGCGTGGAGAATCAGACGGACTTTCCCGAAAGGGTCGAGGCGGCCCCAGCGCGCGGCCAGCATGCGCGCTCCGGGCCTTCTTCCCCGTGGAGGACTCAGCCGCCGGCGGGTTCCCAGCGCCGCTCCCCGATCAGTAGCGGGAGGGCTGCGCCCCGGCCCTGAGCCGGCGCGGGTGCACTCGCGTCTGTCCCTCCTCCTTTCGTTTTTGGGCTGGGCAGGCGATTGGGAGTTCGTCATCCCGCCCCCGATCGCCCCGCCCCCGCACCCCTTTCTCCGGCCCCCCCTACCCCCACCAGCCGCAAGTCGGGGGTGAGGGGGCGGAGGGAGCCGAGGGCCGCAGACCCAGCGGCCGAGGCTGGCGCCGTGAGGAACGCCCTAAAGAGGAGGAGAGCGAGGAGGGAGAGAGGGAGGGAGAGAGCGGCTCGGAGATCGGAGCTTGCTGAGGCGGCCGGCCGGAGGAGAGGAGGGAGCGGGGCGAGGACGCGGAGGAGGGAGCGGGCGAGGCGCAGGCGAGGCTGGGACCCGGGGCGCGCGCACTTTTTCGCAAAGTGCCAACTTCCCGGGAGAGTGCCGGGCGCTCACCGTCTGGGCGCCGGGGAAAGTCAGGGAGAATTTGAGATTTTAGGGAAGAAAGTCGGGTCCCCCGCCCCCTTTCCCCTGTTATTAATCCTCATTAACAAGAAAACAACAAGAATAACAGCAAACTTGCTATAATCCAGTCTGTCTCCCCACTCCTGGCACCATGAAGGCGGCCGTCGATCTCAAACCGACTCTCACCATCATCAAGACAGAAAAAGTCGATCTGGAGCTTTTCCCCTCCCCGGGTGAGTGGTGACTGCTGAGGCCCCCACCCCAGCTCTCGGTCCCCTCTTCCCCCCAGTTGCTGTTCCCTTCTCCGCAGTACATTCCAGACTGAGAGGGGATGCCGGTTGCTGGGGGGAGAGAGAGGCTAAGAGGAGGAGGATTGGGGACTGAGACCCTTTGGGGGTGGGTAGCATTTATTTTCTCAGCTGTGTTTTTGTAATGGGAAAAAGCTTCTAGAGTATCCAGCTTCCCCATACCGGCTTTTTACATTTTCCTAAAGCGAGAGTCCTTTGGCCTTACTCTTTGATGTTAAATGGGATGGAGTTGTCATAGAGGGCATCATCCCTCACCCTGCATGTCCCAGAATTGATGCTGGATGGAGGACCCTGGACCTAAGAACCCAGACTGTCCAAGTGACTGGCTTTGATGCACGTTTTCAAACGTCTTGCCTCGGTGAACTCCCTGTCACATGTCCCTTTGGTGTCTGTCACCTCTTTTCTGGTTTTAGACTGAGAAGAGGGAGGAGAACCAGGAGATGGGAAACCTGAAATTATCATCCAAACTTCAGGAACATCCCATTCTGTGTGTACAGGCTCCTCACTGTTCACGTTTCTAAACGCCCAAAGATCTGTTAGGAGAGGGAAAACATTACCAAAGGTGACTTGGTTGGTGGTTGGAAGGATTTGAAGAAGAAAGGTATATGAACAAAATTTCATTTAGTAAAACTCCTTGCAGGCAGCTCCTGGCCCTCCAGAGTTCTTGGAATAAATGCAGATTGGGAGAGTAAGATTATGTTGTTGAGGATAGGGAACTACCAGCTATCCCTACAGATGGAGATTTTGGAGGTAGGATATATATATATGTAGAAAGAGAGTGAGGGAGAGGGAAAAAGAGAGAGGTGGTTACTGGAAAATAAGGATTGCAGTGCTGTGTTACCCTCTTGCATTTGATTATTCATTAGTTTAGCTACTGCTCCCAGAGGTTAGTACTTCTTTGCCTCTACCATAATTAGCTGTTAATTTAACCCTTTTACCTGTTTAAACTTTCGACACCAACCAAGCTGATGTTTTGTCATTGGGATAGTCTTCAGAAATATAATAAATAGACATGGACATGTCTTGTCCCACAGGACCCCCCCCCCCCACAACATTCTGGCCCAGTACTGCTTTGCACAAAGGAGGCAGGGCTTGCTGTCACACGGAGGACCATGATGTGAGCAATGCTAAGATCAGCTGGAACGTGGGGAGATTTGACACTGAGCACTATAGTTCGCAAGCGATATGGCTAGGGTGGTTGCATTTGGGGGCTCAAAGGAGACCTAATAAATTCTGTTAGCTCCAGTTAATTCAAACCATGTATAAAAGAAGTGGAAAGATAGTCCCCAGAAAAGATATAAACTCAAAGAATAGGTCCTTTCCTTCAGGATGACTTGTTTATATGTGTGTTTACGGGGAAGAGACAGATTTGGGTGTCTGGGCAATATCATGGAGGTATGTCAGTCTACATAGCTACAATGGGTCTTATGTACTGGAACACAGAAGAGCCCCTGGCAACACATGTTTTAGATCACAGTAAACAGCTGAAGCAATTTTTTTCTTGGGGGGGGGGTGTTTAATTTAGCATTAAATATTAGAGACTTCAAGTTCATGGTGCTGTTATTTCAGCTACTGATAAAAAAATAATTCTGGGCAAGGGATGTTCCTTTGCTTTCCCCATCTGTAAAATGGACCTTAGTGCTGAAGTCAACATCCATGATAGTAAGCACCTCTTAAGTACTTCTCATTTTCAATAAGGTTTGCAAACTACATTGGAGGACCTGTATGACACTTTCAATGCATGAGAATTTCCTCTGGTCAAAGAAGTCAGGCCAACTTCTGGCATTTTTTGAAATGTGATTTGGTTTCTGGCACTATTTTGGGGAAGAAAAAGGAAGAAGCTTGAAAATATATTCCAACTGAGTTTTAGCGTTATTCTGGATGTTTAGAGGCATTGAGCTGACTGTTTACACCCCTATAATATGTAGAGGCACAGAGCAGATCGATAACTTATCTGTGAGCCAGTGGCTGAAGTGAAGTTAATCCCTGCTTCTAACTCCTCAGTGTATGTTGCTTTGAGTAACACTGCAAGTTATTTCTGAAGAGCACAGCAAAGAAACTTCAGTTGAGACCTAAACTTGCAGGTGCACGGATGGAAGAAACATCTTCCTGTCTGTTTTTGTTGTTTAGAAGTGAAGACTCGGCTAAGTGGGGATTTGCTTTGCCCAGCAGACCATATAGGACATGTGTTTAAAGTTTAACTTCTCACATTGTCACTGTGTGTCCACAGCTGTGACTTAAATATTTGTCAGAATGATTCCTTGGGGGTTGTATAGTTTCTTATGTGCGGAGAGCCCTTGCTTGGGATCTTATCTGGTTTAAATAATTAAACTAGAATTCCCCTACCTACCCAAAATGGAGAGCCAAAGAAAGGCAGTAGAAGATAGGGTGTCAAAACAGGGTTTTGTTTTACTTTCAGCCAGTACTTTTCTGGCTGTTCTGTGGCATATTATACCTATATCCTAGAAGGGTAAGCAAAGTGCTGAGAAGCTGAGGTGCTTATCCCTTTGCCAATGACTCAGGTAAACTGGGATATCTGCCTGTCTGTGACCAGGACCTGATGAGGACTCCCTATTCATTTGTAGTCTAACTTTTGACAGATTTAAGCACCAACTTAGCATATACTTTGAAATTGTATTGAAACTGAATTTCCTTCCATGTCTGAAGTGGGACAGGCCATTTTGATGGCCATGCACAGTTGAGAGGTTCTCAGATCTCAGATGGGTTAAAAGAAAGCCATAGAGTTTCCTCTGAAGTTCCCTCCTGGAGTGGAGCTTGCTGACAAGGGGCCCTGGTGGTGCCAAAGCAAATACATCCCCAAACCACTTAATTTTTCCTCTCCTTCCTTATTCTACCTTCTTGTGAGGTGAGCATATGCCCAGAGAAGCAGAGGAGTGCTAATAATGCTGGCTATTTGCCCTTTTATAATAATAGACCAGCCCCTGTCCTCCCAGAGCAGTGGAGGGAAGAAGCTTTGTCCCTTGCCCAGGCTTCTTGGTCGGGCTCTTCATCAGTGCAGGCAAGGGATGGCTCCTTCTGGACTCCCATCACCTTCCAATAGGAAGGTGAACTCCACTGAAGAGCGTGGAGTTCAGAGTGGGGACTCTGGAGCCAGCCTGTCTGGGTTTGAACATAAGCTCTGTCATTTACTATCTGTGCACATTGTCTCTGTACTTGGGGCAATCTCACTGTGCTCCAGTGTCAGTGAAATGAGTATACTTGTTGCATCCCACAGGTAGACTTGAGAATTAAATATTCATGTGTGCAGATTCTTAAAACAGTGCCCCGTCCATAATAAATTCAAATAAACAGTTAACTAGAAAACGGGCCAGCAGAAAATGACCCTGAACTGTGTAAATTTTTCAGGGGCCCTTGAAATGATTAACAGGAGCCCTAATCTCCTACTTGAGGGAAAGAAGAATAAAAACTGGAGAGAACTTTTTCACCTGCTTAACTGAGAGCTCAAGCCCATGGTGCTCCCTTTGGAGGTCCAGGGAGCCAGGCCTGAGAGTCAGGTTGCAGTAAGTGGCAGGACATCTATAGGTCACAACTGTCACAGTTCAAGACACAGGGTGGGTCACTCACTTCCGGTGAAGGAGGCTGTCACTGCTACCTCAGAGCCAGAAGGTCACCAAGACTAGGACCCAGGGGGCATTTCCAAGGCTGATGGAAAAGTAGTTTTCAGTTATGCATAGTTGAGAATTGTATCATGTCCAGTTATTATAAAGTATCTCACATTTTATTTATTTATTTGGTTGGCAGAGCTTGCATTCCTGGCATTTTTGGTTGATTTGTATTGCTGTTTTTTTTTCCCCCTGTGTAGCATTTTTTTCTTTCTTAAAGAGACCAGACCACCCTGTAGAAGGATCCCTCTCTGAGACAAACCCGTCAGTGGTCAACTTCTCAGAGCTGAGTCTGCTCTGGGCTCCATCAAAATTTCTGCAAAACCAAGAACTGGTCAGTGTAGGTCAGGATTTTTCAGGAAAATGAAAGTGCCTAGATAACTCTGGAGTGGCTACAGCGACAGCATAATTACAGACCTTTTCTCTGGTCTGTTGAATGAATTACCGTGGCTGTGGTGGTGTTCTGGGATTTTGCACTGGAGGTTAAGCCTTCCATGCACTGGGAATATGGCCATATCTGAATCCCATGCAGAGCCTGCATTCTGAGCCAGGTACCTTCATATAAAATAGCATTTCCACAGTTCTCCTGTACTCTCAGGTGGAGAGAGGTATTATTTTATTCACTTTTCAGAGAAGGAAATTGATATTTGGGGAGATGCATCATTTGCCCCAAGCCATACCTAGAAACTTGCAAACTGAGGCACTGTTGCAGGGGCTTTATACCTAAAATTCAAACACCTGTTGCTATTTACACACTGTGGAAGCTAAGGGCTATGAGAAAGCAATGTTGCTTGGTGCTTTGGGGGTTGAGGTGGTGTAGGGGCTCCTGCTTTCCTGTGGCATTCCCCCAAGCTGGCAGACAGGGCTCTCTCCAGGCTTGGTGGACCAGATTCTTTTAGGGAGATGCTTGAAAGTTCTAGCAGCATTTGCCTCAGATTGCCAAGCCTCTGCTTCTCTACCATGGTGGTTGTGTTTTTCCAGTGGTGTCTCACAGGTGGGAGATGATTATATTTACTTCCAAGGTCACGTCTTTCCCAGAGCCTCCTGAGTCTGCCTGATTTACCGTGTTCATCACAGACACTGCTTGGCATATCCTCTCTCAACTTTTGGACGAGAAGAGACACAGAGCAGCAGCTAGTTTGTTTCCTTAATGCAATTACTGCTTCATTTTCTGGCCTGCAAAAAAGCTATAGGTATCTACATTTGCTGTCTATACAGCAAATAGGTTTTTAACTTTTTTTTACTTAACATGTAGTGTTTTCACATCCATTCCCTGAGTCAGGGCACTTTAGTTAATCCTGC